CTTTCTGTGCTATGTACAGAAAAGAATTGATAATTTGAATATAGTTTTGTCTGTTTATACTGTGTCAATTTTATATTGTATCTTTAAGAAAGAATTTAAAATTTTACCAACATAACACTAGAAGTCTCATGATAATAATTTCTTTCTCACTTTCAGATCTAATAATGTTAGCATATAGAACTCAATGTTAGCATATAGAACCCAGTCTATCCTGCTATTTACCCATAGCTGGAGGGAGAAGAAAAGGATTCACACCTGCCCTAGGGTATTAGTACGTAAGTGAATGCAATTGATTCGACTGGAATTTGAACTTTGCTCTTCAATTCAAGCCGCTATCCATTATTCCAACGTCCCCTGCCACACACAATCTATCTATCTATCTATCTATCTATATATATATATATATATATATATATATATATATATATATATATATAAATAAAAAAAAAAAAATAAATTAAGCTATGGGTAAATAGCAGGATAGACTGGGTTCTATAGCCTTGGATGGCAACTGGTCTAGGAGAAGGACAACTCTGAATTCAAAACCTGTGAAAGTTCGTTTGGGAACCTTGTGGCACGTAGTGGACCAGGTCTCTGTATTCGGTCCTTCAAAAAGTGTGCATAGTCCGGCACGAAACCTTCACCACTATAATCAAATCTCATGTGCTGTTGTCGGACTGTCGATTTCCTAGGAACTGATCTGCTTGATCCTCAAACGTCGAATTCGGCGGGAGAGTCGAGCGTGTGTGTGTTTTATATATAAACATATATGTATACATATATATATATATATATATATATATATATATATATATATATATATATATATATATATATATATATATATGTTGTGGTAGGATCCACCTAATTTAATATAGTGGAGTACCGACCATATAAATATGGTTGGTACCGGGAAGAAAGGAGAGGAATCAAGAGATTCAATCCAGAGACTCTGCCCGACTGCGACTAAGTCAACACATTCTCCAGGAACGGTCTTCCGAAGAATATACAAAAGACTATATGTAAATATTGTGTACACTTTCTTGTTTCAATACATTTTGTTCTAAGTATATTTTGTGTTGTATTATTATTCATGCATTAGTCAAGTTTCAACAATAGCGACGAGGTAGAAAGAACTTTACGAAAAAAAAAAAATAATTGATAATTGATAGCCTTCAACAATTGGGACAAGTCTTTGAAGAACCCAGGCTGAAGGAAAAAAATATTAATTAAAAGTCCAACATCTAATGCAACGGCAAAGGATTCTGAAGTTCTGGATATTTAGAACTCGTTAAAGGACGACTAAGCATAAAGGAACGTTCACTCAGAAAAATCTGAAAGGTAGCGTAAACGATAACGGTGAATTAAAAAAAGAAAAGAAAAAAACTGGCCGACTACAAAAACATGCATGGAGTTAAAAGGCGCACAAATACACCGTGTCGACTTTGAAAGATAACGAACTTTTAAAAAAAAAAATTATTTTTTTTTTTTGATTGCTCAACAATATTTTTATAAAATATTGTTGAGTAATCAAAAAAAAATAATAAATAAAGTCATATAAAGACATAAAATAAAAAAGTCGTAAGTTGTTTCGATTTTTTTAGTCAGCTTCTATTATATTCGTGGATACACAAATTAAAAGTATATTCTTTGTTGCATGAACACTATCAGCTAAAGATGGATGAATTATCCAAAGTCAGCTGAATTATTCAAATCCCAGCAGTTGCGTCAGCAACGTCAAAGTGAACAGTTTGCCTTATTAATAAGGGAACAACAGAAAAGACAGCAAGAATATCAAGAAAAGCAAGAGGAAAGACTGGAAAAACAGGAAGAAATGCAGATCAAGGTTTAAGAAATTCAAAAGTTTACACTGGAGAAATTAATGTGGGAAATTCTACATATTCTAATAACATCATATTTAATTCGCTGGAAACTTTCAACTATGTGCCAGACGAAGGAAAAACGTTTGAAGCGTAATTTAAACGATATGAAGATATTTTCTACACAGACTGTGAAAACTGATCGAATTCAAGAAAAGTCAGTCTATTACTAAGAAAGTTAGATACAGCAGAACATAGCAAATGACCAAAAAGTGCAGGAGATTTATTCAATAGGTGACGGAGTTTTATTACATGGTGAGAGAGTAGTAGTACCAAAAAAGTTGCAGAGAAGAATACTACGGGACTTTCATATGGGTAACCCGGGGATTAATAGAACAAAAAGCTTAATGCGAAGCTTTGTATATTGGAAAGGAATGGATGTGGATATCGCAAACATGGTTCATCGATGTAAAGGGTGTGCGTTAGCAGCTAAGGCACCACATATAGTACACAAACCATGGCCTAAGACGGATCAACCGTGGACAAGATTACACATTGATTTCGCTGGTCCAGTAGAAGATTATTACTACTTAATAGTGGTAGATAGTTTTACAAAATGGCCGGAAGTACTACGCTGCAAAAAGCCTACGTCCAATACCACAACAACTTTTTTGCATGAACTATTTGCACGGTTCGGTGTGCCAGAGTGTATTGTGAGTGACAATGGTACACAATTCACTTCTGAAGAATTTAAGGAATTTTGTGAGTTATATCAAATTAACCACATAACGACGCCGCCGTATCATCCGAGATTCAATGGACTCGCAGAAAGATTTGTCGATACGTTAAAGCGAGCTCCGAAGAAAGCCTCAGGAGTTCCAACGGAAAAGGCGCTTCAGCAATTCCTACAAGTATACAGAATCACGCCAAACCAGAGAACACACGCAAACATGGCACCAGCTGAACTAATGTTCGCTAGGAAAGTTAAGTCAGTGTTTGACAAGCTTTTGCCAGGAAAAAATAGAGTAAAGAATACTATGTTTACAGCGAGAAAAAGATACACCTCCGAAGAGAAGGTGTTTTTCAAGTGCTACAAAAACAACGTTGAGTTCTGGGAGCGAGGCATAGTGGACAAGAGAATCAGTGACCTGATTTACATAATTAAAGGGCCGAAGAATACTCATAAAAGGCACCAGAACCAACTTAAAAAATGTTACGTTATAGAGCATGAAGAGAGTATACCGGATGAGGAGGAAAATCCCATTGATATAATGTATGATATGTTTCAAGTAGAACCTCCACAGAATACTCCTGAACCAAGAAGATCCCGTAGGAAACGGAAGTTCACGGACCCATTGGACGTGAATCCAAAACGGAAAAAATATTAAAATGAAGCAGATGGACATATGCATATGAAGTATGAAATGGATCTACAAAGAAATAGCCATAATCATCAACCCATATTGGAAGCCAGTTGGAAATCCAAAAGGGATTCCAGGGCTTGGGAGGGGGTGTTGTGGTAGGATCCACATAATTTGCATAGTGGAGTACCGACCATATAAATATGGTTGGTACCGGGAAGAAAGGAGAGGAATCAAGAGATTCAATCCAGAGACTCTGCCCGACTGCGACTCAGTCAACACATTCTCCAGGAACGGTCTTCCCAAGAATATACAAAAGACTATATATAAATATTGTGTACACTTTCTTGTTTCAATACATTTTGTTCTAAGTACATTTTGTGTTGTATTATTATTCCATGCATTAGTCAAGTTTCAACAATATATAATAAATGTTTGCCTCCACAGAAAATTATTGAGAAATACTACAAACATTGATACAGAGAAGTTTCGGCATTATTCCTGAAATACAAATGAAATTTGAAAAACATCGTCAGATTTGGACTGGATTCTTTTCTAATTATAAATTTGTAAATTTTCCACCAATCAGTGCACTCGGCTTGATCGCCAACTTCCATTGCATATGTATCGAAGATCTTGTTGGCAATTCCAAAGACAATTGAGTTCTCTCTTGAATATTTGGTGGAATGCTAATTGACCATCATAATCGTGGAATGGAATATCGAAAGATCTTCACCGAGTTGAAGATCGTAGTCAGTTCCATTGGAACGATCATTTGAATTTGTAAGTGGCATGGATTGACTGCCTTGGAGATAACGTCGGTATAATGTAATGGAACAATAATTCAGATCCATTTGTCGGAAAGTTATGCGCAACTAGAAGGCTGACTATTTCTGGCATAAATTATAATAATTTGACGAGATTAAAAACAGACGAACACTTTTTTGGAAAAGTTTTGAGACATGTGTCGAGAAGGAAAGTCTCCTCGTATATACCGCACATCTTTAATTGAACATGATGATAAAAGGAAAATGATTTCATCATGATTCGAGTTTGTTATCCTCCAGATGTACAGACTCATTATATATAACCAAAGTAACATTGACGAACCCTATATTACGGAAAATTGGAGAAGAATATGATTTAAACTGTAATATTTCCCAAACTGCAGACTGACTTCAAGAAGATCACGATCAATTCCAAACTGCAGAGAAAATAAAACAGTGGCTGGAGGCGTAAATTAAGGGGTTTAATAGCTTGAAGTATATCCTATAGAAAAACTATGGACGGTGTTTTTACTTCGGTAACAGTATATTTCATGTTTGAGCACAATATATATATATATATATATATATATATATATATATATATATAATTATTATTATTATTATTATTATCATAACGTGCATTTTATTGCAAATAATGCTGTCTTGATTGTTGTCTTGTATATTTTATTTTCTTAAAATATGAGTAGCAAAACCAATGAGGTAAACACACACGCATATATATATATATATATATATATATATATATATATATATATATATATATATATATTGAAGAAAATAGAGATACAAGACAACAATCACGATAGCAACATATACAATAAAATGCTCGTTATGATAATATATTGTTTTTCATCTGACTGAAACAAAAAGCAAGGATTTCTGCCGGATATCTCTTTCATTACATCTTATATACTTAATTTCTTCCCAATGTTTTCATATTCTGGCACCTCTTTAAATATCCTGCATGTGGATATGATTTCACATGCTCTCGTGAAAGTAGGAATATCACGCGTCCCAGATAAGGCCGTTACTCAGATAAGATATCCTATTGGAAATGCAATAAAAGACACATAAGACAGATAGATAGATAGATAGATAGATAGATAGATAGATAGATAGATATGAGGAAAAACAAAAAGACGTGCTAAATCATTGATTAATTTGGGTGGAGAGCAAGCCTTGAAATGTAAATAGTAATTTATTTAATTCACGTTTTCTGATGGTTATCATAACAGCTAAGCCCTTAGCAGAAATTGATCCAATTTAATACTTGATAACTGCTACTGAATTTTCTCTAGTATAAGGCTCGACAGCCACTCAGTGTACAAGATTACTGGTAAAATTATAAATGTGAATGAGATTTAGCATATGAATGTAAGAGGATGTGATCGGATTTAACAGAGGATATAATCAGAAGAGAAAATTCGGAAGATGAAGCGGTACCTTCACTTGAAGAGTTTAAGATTGTGGTGTCCACAAAGTACCCACGCCCTTACAATAAAAGTGAAACATTATTATATTTAGGATTGGCGAAATGACTGTGACTCCATGATAGGGACATTAAGTATCATAGCTCTAAATTTCTGAATTAGTTAAACTAAATAATGCTGTTCATCTAAACAGTTGCTAGTGAAATATTGATAGTGTAGTGATAAGCTTGCAATTTTACATCTGTAGGAAGAAGTTTTATAGAATGGATATTAAATATTCCTCCAGATGATGGCATAAATGATGTGAACGCTGATCAATACTGGGAAGTAAGGATAGGACTCTTTAACTCAGATATTGTAGTAAAACTCCATTTTCTAATCATTTATATACAGTTTTGAGTTTTCCTTTCTTGTTGTAAAGAATATTATTTTTATTATAATCATTTCACTCTAAGCACAACAATATAGCCAATAAGATTTAATGGGTTATTAAATGTGACAGAATACGAGAAAAGAAAAACATTATTAAGAGAACGATAAAGAACGGGATTTAATAAGACAGAAGATAACGATTGACGCCGCACTTAAACTTCTGAAGATCATAGTTGATTGGAACAAAAGAGGCTGCAATTATGAAATAAAATCTTGATATATTTAAAAATAAAACCAGATGCTTTTTAAATTCTTTTTTAAAAATTTTATTTTCAAATGATTAATTTTTTTCAACCAACCTAGGATATAGCGTAACTCCTTTGTTTAGCATTGGTTATTCCTTTATCAGAATAGCCGAAGGACACTTTATCAGAAACAACATCTGCAATGATCTTTTGAAGATCTTTTTCCCAACAGAAAATTAGATTATCGCAATGTTGGCTTCAGATTAAAAAGAGACACTGTTTAGGTGGCAGCCTTCAACGATTAGATACGCCATGAAATATGTATAAAGAGATGTCTTCCTAAAGTAGGAATCGCTCATATTGAAGCACAAATGTGAAGAAATCTGTCTTGATCAATAATTAAACTACTAATAGAAAACAGTATTCCGCTTCCCCCCACATAAAGAAGCCAGTGTATTGACGGTGAGATGAGGCTATGTTGATAGTATAGGAATGCATGGTAGGTAAAGGAAAGATCTTGAACAAAAAATAACCCTTCTTTACCAAGTGTCTTTTGAAATAAAAAAAAAAGACATAAAGAAACTATGATCGGCATTAAGAATACGACTAGTAATAAAACATCCCTTGTATCTTTAATATAAAATATGGAATGGATAAAGTCTAAACACTTCAACTACATCGGTACATGGATCAGTTACAATGCACAAAGTAAAGGGAATGAGTAAATTGAACACGGGATGGGCAGCATCAGGCTGCTTTTGACCCACAGTTTATGAACCGTTTAATCTTTAATAAATTATTTTATTCGGTTATTAAAAAAAAAAGTTTTGATTTTCTGGTGCTGAGGTGTCTTGGTCTTGAGTTGTCTCAGTTCTGAGTCATCCCGTCCCTCCGGCGGCAGTGTTCAGTCGGCGGTATTCAGTCGGCGGAGTTGAGTTGTCCTGCATCCGACTTTCAACACTGTCTTAAGCAAATAGTTATGTAGGTAGCTCCCATCAGTACTCTAAAGAGCAATAATAATTACTTGACCTGAAAAGGTTTTATAAATTTTAACCGAATATAGCATAGGCTGCTTGGACAATAAATGCCGAATATTTCCTGTATCTCACATTACCATTCTATCAGTATTACATCCCGATGGCAGACAATTAGTCAAAAAACTTTTTTAATAGTAAAATACAGTGCTTCTTCTTAGCACAATAATGAACAATGTTCTTATAGTAATATAATTAGCCATATATTTATATTGTTCTTCTTTATGTGTTGGACCCCATTAGGTCGTGTAAGATCATAGCTCTCCACAACTTCCTGTCCATTGTAGATCTTAATAAAGTTTTTCTTTTATTTTCTCATACCCTATTCAGCTACCCATTTACTTAAGCCACTAAGTATTCTATTGGGTGTTTTCCAATGTCCCTCTTTCCCTCTATCGCTCCCGTGAGTATCAAGTTTTCCTAGCCCTCCTTTTTCATTATGTACGTAGAAAGAAACTTCAACTGTCTATTCCTGATTTTATGTATAAGTTTTCTTTTTTGTTTCTATTTTCTCTAAAACTTCGTCATTGTTCACGTGTTCGGTCCGCCATATCCTCAGAATCCTTCTGTAGAACCAGATTCCTGTTGCTTCAAGACACTCCTTCAACTTTGTGGAGATCGTCCAGCACTCACTGTCATACAGGAAGACAGATACCACGTAACAGTTTAGTAATCTTTTCCTTGTTTTTAGCAACATTTTTCTATTTTTAGTACACTGTTTAGCTTTTGGAATATTTCCTTGGTTACCCCAATACCTCTTCGGATTTCCGTGTCAGACTTTCCCTTCTCTGTTAAAACGTTTCCCAGATATTTAAATTGTTTGATTTTGGTATCTCCGATTTGCAATTCACACTTTGGATTCATCATTTTCCTAACAAGCATGTATATTTTCTTTTTTGCAATTAATGTTTAGTTCTTTCTTCTCGCTTTCCTTCCCTAACTTCTGGAGAAGTTTTTGTAGCTTTCTTTCTATGCTTGCTATCAAAATTATTTTATCTGCATAGCTTACGTTGTCAAGATACGCCAATAAGGAATCCTGAGTTAACAAATAAAAATGTCTGCCAATAACTGTTGCATTAATTTCTGAACACTGACAATTTAGTTATTCCAGGTTTTCGATGGATTTCCGTTGTAAAATATTTGTCAATATATTTTTATAGTAACACTTTTTGCACTGGTTATTTTAGGGAATTAATTAAAATCTAAATTATATATAAGCTAAGGCTATGTTATTAGTCACGCTTACCTTCGTTCCTGGCCACTGAAAATAACATTCTTCATGACTTGTGAAGTAGGCTAAGTTCTGAAACTTGTTCTAGCATATTCCAAGTGGACACTTGGAAATATTCCTTGATTAACACTGTTTTTTGCCTTCGCATTTAGATTTCGGAAAAAAGGTGTGATGATTTGTTTGTCGTTAACGTTAGTGCAAAGCGACAAGTCGAAAGCTTATCTGCGTGTGTCAGGATCTACTGCAGTCATCGGTACATAATATGCGCCATTATTGTTTTATTTCCCTTGGTTGATAATTGAATGTGACACAACATCATTTAAATGAATGCCATTTAAAAAAAAATATTTCTTTGAATGAATCTTCGTTACCAACATATACGTGTGCAAGCAAGTGATTAGAGACCCATTTTCTAAATTCAATATGGTCGAATTGTAAATGCAGTGAATCTAGCACCATTAAGAAATGCCTCAGAAACACGAATTAATCCAAGACTTCTGACTGGAATTAGGTTGATGGAACTGTTCAGAAGCGATCAATGATTGCATCAGCATGAAGTCACAAATCCTCACCTTGTGGGCAGATAGAAGTTCTTCGTTTGAAATATTTCAAAATGGAGGCTCCCTGCATCCTGACCAATGACAGGTATGTAGGCCTAAAAAAATTATATTGATTGAATTTCTTAAAAAAATGAGTCACATGGTTTTGCAATCTGCCGTAGGCGGACATAACGCTGTAGGATGATACTGAAGTAAATTGTTCGAAATTTTTACGCCTCCTTTACAAGGATTGCCATTTTTTTAAAGTTCTGTTTCAGAAGCTGTAACTATACTTCTAATTCCTTTTTTACTACCTTCCAATTTCTTAAAAATCTCGCCAGGCACCAAGTTTACTCAGATAATGAAAAGGCAGGCTGTCATAGCTTCTTAAAAAGGCAACTTTTGATAGACAGATAGCTAGCTTCCTGAAAGTTGCCAGATTTTCGAAAATTCGGAATGAGTTAAAAGCTGCGAACGGGGATCTAATAACAGCAGCTAAAAGCAAATGGTATGGTTAGAGAACTCATATCATCAGAGATCCTAACTTGTTTCGATAGTTAAAATAATCAATTAGAGTATTGGAAAATTATAGCTAATTGTTAGCAAGGCTGAAATTCTTGGTAGCTTTTAGATTCACTCTGGGTTCTCATACAGGATTCAACATATCCCAGTAAGGGTAGACAACGTAAAAGTTTTATATGCATTAGGAAGTAACGTTTTTTCAAGTTATACAATCCACTGGAGGTCTAAAATCTTTCCTCTCTTTTAGATGATGACGGTGGTGGTGGTGGTGGTGGTGATTATTATTATTGTCGTTGTTGTTGTTGTTGTCATTATTACTATTCTATTTCTTCTTCCGTGTCTTATCCTTAGTAATTCTAAGTAATGTTTTTCTCCGTTATTATCCATCCCACTTCCTACCAACTGTCCCTTTTATATAAGCTCTTTAGATAGATTAATCACTGTTCCTCACTGGACCTCTTCAATACATCCCGTGAGAGACAATTTATCCACGTTCTGATTCCTCGTCAAGCGGTTCAGTCATTTTCAACCATTTTTTTTCTTTTCTAAATACAAGTTTCATTTTTGTTTATAGTTTCCATAAACCTTCTTGCATACTCATATGCTTCCTCCATGTTATACTCAGCATTATTCTGTAGAAAATCTCTTTTATCTCAACGAGATTGTCCATCTTTCACTGCCATATAGCAGGACTGATATTGTATAAAAATCATCATTTTAATCTTTTTTACAAATCTCATCTCTTATAACATGAATATTTTCAGAAAAGCT